CGAAGCTTTCCGTCTTGATCAGTGGTCTTCTATCGCTCTCCTCAGAAGTGAAGGCGGCTGCCACTGTTCGGGCCGTGCTGAGACGGTCCCTGAGTATATCTTTCTCTCTCACACTTCCGGTTATACCCCAAGCGACGGGAGCCAATCAGAAATCGTTAACGCATTGTCGAATCTTTGTTATAGTATCTCTAATTGGGTGCTTTCCAATTGATGACACAAGTCGACACAAGTATCGTTCTATCTTTCTTGATATTTAGTGATTGACAAAGATAGAACGACACTTGTGTCGATTTGTGTCATCAATTGGGAAGCACTCATTGTAGCTAGCTCTCTCCACTTTCACTTCGCTCCAGGCTGCGACGCGCGGCGTAGTATCGATGATGGGGAACGACGGACGCCGTCGCGTTACCCCCTATCGGTGCTCCACGCAACGGCTTCGGGCATAACGAATAGTAGTGGGAATAGAAACGTGTTACGATCGACTCGAATTGGTACGTCCGTCGGCGGAAAATCCGGGCTCTAATTATAACAATAAACATTTAGCAGGAAATTACGAGTTACGCTACCAATATTAATGTCTCTATATATAATTAAGAACAATTATATTGATATGTAACGTGCGCAGCTAGAAGCAGCCGCGATGCCGCATACGCTGAAACACGGGCATAAAAACTCTGAATGCGAAAGCATGCATGCAGATGCATTCTGAGCGCGGGCAATGGTACCATAGCGATGGTGGCGGCTCCGAAGAGCACCCTTAATACTAATACGAAGATTGTGACTAAGAACATACATATAATTGGCAATTATAATAGTCGAAAATTTCAGAATAATGCTCGCCACGAGCATTCACATGATAGCAATATTTCCTTTGCCACTAGACGTCATCCCTTGACTGTTGTATAAGGCGATCCTTAATAGGATTTCGCGTATATTCTTCTCTGGCATTCGCCGATAATTCCAGAGCTTTGATATTACAAGTAACTCACTGGATCGGTCGTATAGGCGCGATTCAAGGTAGTATAATTCACCGCTAATAATTATTTCTATATTAGTAATCATTGTGAAATTATCCTTTGTACATTTAATTCTTACAATAAAATATTAATTACAACAATCTCGTATTAAATCATTCTAAATTAACAATAAGATTTACATCAGAGCTTGGACATGGTAAGCAACCACTACCCTTATCCTCTCCCTTTATCCTCTCAGTGTAATGCGCTTCCTCTATGTGCGCTTAAATACGATTGCCTCTCTCTTTTTCTAAACGTCTCAGCCTCCCCTTATTCTCTCAGTGTAATGCGCTCACTCTATGTGCAACTAATAATGTTAAACTAGTGTTAACTAATGTTAAACATGATTCTCTATCTCTCCCTTTTTTCAGGAAAATTCCTATTTCTCCAAGAACATAACTCTCCTTCTCTCGACCATTTCCGTATCAATTTCTGGTTGACCTCGCGAAATAGAATACATTACGCATACATATTATATATAAATATGTATATACATCCAGAGTTAAGGCTCCACCTCACGCGCCTTTTCAATTGTAACATAGTGTTAGAAGTAAAAGTAATGGTTAGAACGTTGAAAATACTGTCACCCGGACGCGACAGTATGTATCGAAATTTTTCAAGATTTTTGCACCTGTTCCCCATACTCTGTATAGTTTAGATACTATCTTTGAAATCTTTGATTAATATAGTGTGTGTAATTCTAGTAATATGCATTGTTACGTGCAAGCTCCGATTCCGGGAGGAGCTGCGGAAGGGCGTAACAAACTTTACCCGAGATTCGGTCACGCTCGATCTCCAAATTTCGGAAGGGGGCAACGGAGGAGCGCAACCGAATTCGGACTCTCGCAGGTACACACCGTGGAGTGTCCTGCGAGTCGAACGTACCTTTAAATGCTCCGGAAAGTGGGTCAGTGTCCCGAAAGAGACACTATGACGCCCTTTTCCCTAAGCAGCACGAACGTCGATTCTTTAAATTTTATGTCAGGGAACTTAATCCCTATGACCTGGGAATGGACCTGTGCGATCTATGAGGTTAACGGGAAGAATACGAGTAAGGAGTTAAGTAAAAATTAAGCGGTTTCACATTAAACGATTAATCTTAAATATTTATTAATTATAAAAAAAAAGGAACATTAGAAATTAAACGTAAATAGATACAAAATAATAAAAATATAATATGTGTGTGGGTGAGTGTGTATACTGTTCGAGTGAGAGGAAAGGGAGCGGGGGAGGAGTTAGGGAGGATTACGACGGCAAGAACAGGAGCGAAGGATGCTCAAGGGAACTAAGAAAGAGGTGCCCGTTCACTCCAGGAAGGTACACCACGGTTACCTGCTCTGGAGGGTAGGATCCTAGATATCAGAGAAGCGCAACCGATGTTCCGCGTCCTGATTGGCTGATGACTGTCAGCCAATCATGACATTCATTCATTGGTATTAAAAATGGCCGACTAATAGACGATTGGTGGATTTCATAGTTCGTCTGCAAACGACGCCATTTTTAATACTGTTTTTCGTAATTTTGTGATACTGACTTAAGCCGTTTGCGCTTCTCTGATATCTATAGGGGAGCGTTCCGAGTTACGCATGAAGCGCGTATACTGCATTACTGGTGCGTAACGCTTTGAAATCGTTCCGTTTAGTCAATGCGCATGAAGAGCTTTAGTTATTCGGAACGATTTCCTATGCATTCTATGCGAGTTCAAGATGGACGCTATACAAGACGTCAATAAACAATTTCCAATAATTATAATTTCTTCGTTAACACTTTAAAGAAAAATGATTTTCCAATGAAAGTTCCGAATCTGAGGGAGCAAGTGAGAGCGAGTGAGCGGTGTTGCTCGAGACGATATTATGACGGGTCGCAGCAAAAAACGGACGGCTCACTATGCTCCCTTTTTCTTCCTCGCGGTCTCGGCTAGCGAGGCTGATCAGCTGTGCCTGGCTTATATTTAGAACTGTCAATACGGCAGTCTGTAATTCGCGACGCGTGGTTGTTCGGGCGTTATCGCGGATTCGCGTAGATGCGCTAAGACGGGCGATGACCAGCGGCCGAGAACGCTCGGCAGAGGTGGAGAACTCTCCACCCCGGGCGACTGCTGGTCGATCGCGGTGCGTGATGCAGTGGTTGTTGCACGTTGCACCGAGACGGCTGCCGAGAACGCTCGGCAGAGGCAGAGCACACTCTGCCCCTCGGTTCTTGCCGTTCGGTGCACTAGGATGCCTGACTGGAGACCTGTCGAGAACTCTCGACGGAGCTAGAGTACGCTCTGGCCCGTTTTCTCGGTGTCGTGTAGGCTTTTGAGGATTTCGGGATTCGTTGTCTGGAGCAGGTCGGGACAGGAATCACCTCTTTTCTCGTAACGCGGCATTTTTATACGAACGAAAATGCCGCGTTCGTGGTTTTTCGCTTTCGCTCGCGTTTTCTCGTACTTTGCGGTGTTCGGGTCTGAGTCCCAAGAAGTGGGAATCCGCGGCGATCGCTCTACTTCGGTCTCGATCGGCGGTGTTCGGTGTTACGCGGCCGTTACTGCCGCTTTGTACCTGCGAATTATGTTTGCTATTTTATCGGGCGCTATGCGCCCTCATCACTGCATCGCAATCAGCGATGCAGCGGCGTTCGGCTGGGTGGTGTTAGCCAGAACGATGGGGGATGCATCGTTACACTATTAATGGTAGATAAATCACGTGAAAACAAATTGGAGTTAAAAAAATTATAGATTACGTCGATCGTGTAATTCCTAATTAATGTAACGTCTAATCTATACATTAAATAAATCAGAGTAAAATAATGCCATTAATTTTATCTTGGCTTGCTTTCGCCATATCCTCTTCATTTAAAAATGAAGTTAATATTTCATTTTTATCTTCTAATAAGACCGGGAATTCATGCAATTGCTGTAATCGCTGTTCCATTGCAAATCGCAAATATTCGTCCGTTTACTGTTATGTTGTCCGGTACTTGTTGCTCGTTCCGAATTAAAAAAATCATGGGCATAGACCGTATGAACGCATTAGACGCATCAACTGCCTCAAGTCGAAAGAGAAGCAGTCAATGCGCTGGGTGGGGTGCTAAGAATTCAGTACGGTTAGTACAATCTGGGGAATTCAAGTACTCTCAAAGCGCTTTCGAAGCGCGCAATAGTTAACTCGGAACGATCTTCTATGCAGTCTACGCGCTACATGCGTAACTTGGAACGCACCCTAGGACTCTACTGGAGGGAAAAGGATTTGTGAGGAGGAGGAGTAGGAAGAGGAGGAGGTATTGGGGGGAGGTAAATTAGATTCAAGAAGGAGAGGGGGAGTGGGAATATCGTCAAGGGAGATGGGAGGGAACCGCTCGTTCATGGGAAATGCCAAGAGGGGAAATTGAGGGAGAATCGAGGGGGGGTTAGGAATGGAAACGTGGTGAGATCAAGGGGGAAATCGAGGAGAGGGACGGGAGAGTATGATGGTTCTGTGTAATGTGTGATCGCGGTGTGATTATCGGTGGCGAGCTGAGCAGAGGAAGGCAGCGTAGCGAGAGCTGGCTGACGGAGCCGTGGACTCCGGCGGTTTTTAGCGAGGGGGCCTCTTGGGCGAGACTCCCTTGGGGGAACGCGAGTTCGCACTAGAAATTAAGGCAGTGCCGCGTGAAAAAGAAATTATGGTTGGGGATTACGTGCATACAATTGTGTACGTATATTCCCCTAAAAAGGAAGGTAAAAGAGGTAAGGGGGCAAAAAAATTGGTCTTACTTGCTGGTCGGAGCGGCGAAAATTCTCTGTCCCTTACAAGGCTGTTGCAGTGACGGAACTTCCGGTCCTTGAGGTGAAGGCGGAACTTCCGGTCTTTGAAATGGTCACGGAACTTCCGGTCCTTGCGATGGTCACGGAGGCGCACAGCCGCTGATGGTCTTGGTGCACAGATTTTATGTACGGAGATCTCAGTCAGTTGACTCGGGCTGTTACCTCGGACAACTGATTTCAACCGGTTAATCGCAACCATGGTGGAAGGATTACATGGTGTGCTCAGATCGGCTAAACCACGCCCCTTTTCGCAGCAAACTGCTTCAGGTTCCGCACGTCTGCCAACAATATTTAACGTCGAAGAGTTACTGAACCTGAATTTAGTCGCATCTTTGTCACACGTACTAGTGGGTGTCCTTTTCTACCGTGATGTCTATCGACATCTGTTCACTCACGGCTTTGCTCTGACTCAAGTCCACCGAGTCCACGCGTTTTTAGAAACGTGTGATTTGTGCAGTTTTGTTTAAAGAAATTAAAAAATTAAAGACATTAAACTATTATTGTACATTATTGTTGTAAAAAGCATTAAATATTAATTTTCATATTTTATACACTATATTATACACTTTTATTAATTCTCTTTACAATGAGCGCAGTTGATTTCTTGTCGCATTGTAGAGCGAGAAGAACATAGATTTGATCAACCTTCAGGAACTTATCCTAATAAACATTTTCAACTTAAAATAATTTCAGAGATCGTCTTTAATTAAATACATTTATTAATTACACGTATGAATGACCGTGTTTATTTTTAGCTCTCAATTGCCCATTAATTAATTTAATTCACATTTATTATTATTTCGCCCGCGTAAATAAAAATATATGTTAATAACAAGGCTCAATAAATTTAAAAAATAATTAAAACAACAGGGCTACGAGCCAACATTCGTTAAATTATAAAGGTCTTAGTAAATATAAGATGTCATTAGTTAAAAATAAATATAAAGTTTAATAAAATTTAAAACAGACGTTTCGACCTCTTCTGATTTTAAATTGTTTATTGTCAACATCTTGAAATGGGTCTCTCTTCGCATTGTTCTAATTATATATTAATCATAATTGTATTTTTATACAATTTTACAAGAAATGTGGAGCTTTTTCAAAATTTACATTATTTAATGATTGCTTTTTGTCGGACTCTTGCCAATTTGCGCCGAGATGATTAAGTCTTCAATAGCGAGTGAGATTAAATACCCACATCACAAAATTTATATACATATTTTTCGTATTTTATAATATTTTTACACATGTATTCGTTTTTTAATATTATATTCTGTACATCGTTAACGATTCTTGCGATTTTTTAACATTGATAATGACCTAATAAAGGTCGAAACGTCTGTTTTAAATTTTATTAAACTTTATATTTATTTTTAACTAATGA